GGAGGGGGAGTGGGGAGGAAGGGGAAAAATGAGGACCAATCTTTGTTTTCTAAATGTCATTGTTGCTATGAATTAGAACAACTCGACAATGCCTAGCAACAAGCACAGTACGAGTCGCTGATGATGACATGAGAGCAGACTGCCCTGGGGTGGGTGCTAACACCCGGGGACCCCACAGCAAAGGATAGAATGCCTCTGTATGGCTCTCAGACTGTAGCTGCTTATGAGAGGAGGAACCCTGGTCTTTCTCCCTCAGAATGTCTGGTGGCTTCAAACTATGGACCTTGCTTAACCACTGCACCATGACGGCTTTTCCAATCATCGGTGACATATTTATATAACTAGTGTATGTATTATCCACTTTGAATGTGAACATAACCTAAGACATCCTATTTCCAAGGGTCCATTTAGGGAAAGGAAAAGAATGACATGAAATAGGTTAGGTTGAAAGGAGATAGAAGGACACTTCTTTAGATTTGGGCTGATATTTTATATGCTACTCCAGTCCAAATCCACGGGAAACAAATCAGGTTTGTCCACAGCGAACAACGGATGACACACTCTTGCCAGTTAGATGTTTTAAATAGCAAATTTATGCTTGCAAGCTCGAAGACAAAACTTCTTCAGTTGACATTAAAGTGCATCATTGAGCAATATGTGTATCAGAATAACAATGAACTATTACACAAAATAGGGCACTGCTGTTCTCCTCCTTTTTCTGCATAAATTGTAGTATGCGTAGCAATGTGAACACATTACAGTCTATCTAGAGTAATTAGGCAAATATTTCCTGCCAGTTGATCCTGTGGTGCTTCGGTATGTTCGCTCCTTCCATATGCTGTCTGAACATTCCTCTGTGTGTAGATTATGGTATCAATATGTTCTGGGGTTAATTCTGAGCAAAGCTTTAATTATGTTCAGAACCCTCCTTACAGCTCATCGTTTCTCCACTCTCAAATGTTCTAGAAATAAATAATGAGAGCAATTAAGAATTCATATAAGACTCTTCTTTTCCTCTTTGACATTTGTTATTATGTTTCCCAAATGCAGAGTGCTGAAGAGTCTCATCTATATTCCTGCTCAAAAATCTGAATTCCACTTGAGCTCACAGGTAAGATTGAGTTGCTCTTTTTGCCTTTGGTAGTGTGCATGCTATTCCAAATCTTACTTTGTCCTTTAAAAATAAGGTTGTGGGAGTGATTGTTGGGTGCTGTCAATCCCCTTCCAACTCATGACTCTTCTCAGTGTTACAGAACAGAATAGCGTCCGAGGTTGTAATCTGAATGGGAGATCTCCAGGTCTTTTCTCCCAGAGTGCCACCCACCTTTAGGTTAACTTTTGAACCCAGCCCATTGCCACCATCCAGGCACCTTCTAGAAGCAAAATTGTCTATGTGATTGTTTTATCCTGTGGAGTCAGTTTGACTCTTACTCATCTCATGGGACAGAGTATGACTTCCCTGAGGAATTTGTTGGCTTTAAACTTGCCAGGAGCCATTCACTGGTCTTTCTCCCATGAAGATGATGGGTAGTTCTGAACCATCAACCTTTCGGTTAGCAGCAAACTTTTGGTTACATTTTTAAACCATTATCCACAACACTCCTCTTAAAATTAAAAACAGTATAGGAATATCCTAGCTGCAGAACAAACGCATCTAACTTATGAGGGGAAATCAAACTATTCATGGGTATTGGTTCTGCCTTACCCTAAATGTATCAACACCGAAAAAGAATAGTGTTTAAGTTGCAAGAGGCTCCTGTGTGAAAATGCCAAACAAAGTTACATCTTACTTAGAAGTACACATAGTGAACATTCCCTCAGGGTGAAATTTTCCTTGGATACCTGAGAACTGGAAATAAGGTACATTTCCTTAGAAATTTTGATAGAACTAGAAAAAAACTATCAGATTAATATCAATTCCATTATCAAGCTTCAACTCTTTGAGTTTGAGATAATGTAATTTTTTATGTTTTTATGATTTATTATGTCTGATTTAATAATTCACTTATGGAGGTGTATGGCAACAATTGATATGGGTTTATAAATGCTATGTTATTTGTATGACAAATATCACTCTACATTACACTACAATATCTATGTGGTTAGTGAAGACATGTCATACACAAAATAAAATACAGGATAAAATAAAACTTCTGATTTTTTTCTGTTTCCTCAAGGATCATTGTAAAAATGAATCATGTGTTTAGTTAAAAAAGGATTCTAGGAAGAGTGAAATAATAATATGCTTAAGGAGACTTGTGAGTATTCTGAGGAATGATGCTGAAGAAAAATAACCCATAATGCTCTTTATTTAATCATATAAATCCACCAGAAAATATTATAATTATTACACTGTCCAAATAAAATTATGGGCAGCACTGATTAAACACATCATCATTATAAATTAGTTTATAATTTGCTGTGATAGAACTGAGCATAACAAATGTATTCTGTAATTATGCAGATGCCATGCATACATCTATAATTGCTCCATTGCAATTTAGTATGTGTTAATAATGGACTTTGTTTTATGTTATTTTTCTTACCAGTCAATTCCCTTGTGATAGTTGTTCCCATTAAAAAACTGAATTTCTTCAAATGTCTTCGGACTAGGTAGATTACTGATGATGGAAGGGTGCATAAGGAGAAACAAATAAAGTGCAGTTGTTCCTATGATAAAAAAAGAAGGCAAAAGGTTATATGGCAATGAAAGAATAGTTACAATGTTATTTTGCAGATTTTATGCTAAATAAATTATATACAAAACACCATTTTCTCCAAAAATCAAAAATTATTTCTTTAACATTTCAGTTAGCAACACTATCAGGTTTATTTAAATTAGTCATCTTGACTACATTCGTCTAAATGCTCCATTTAATGTTAGTATATAGCCAAAAAGAGATAAACCTGAGGGAGAACCGCAGAAAGCCTCTGGTTAGCATTCCCCCTACCCTTGCATCTTCCAATACAGGTGACTAGAAAAAACAGCAAAGACAGAAGGTGCCTTTACTTATCTCTATTGCTAGCATCCAGTACAATACCTGAAATTGGTGGCTCTTCAATCACTATTAAATTCAGATTACGTTAAATCAAATTATGGCACTCCAGCAATGATTAGTGATAAATGTTTGTAAGACAAGCACATTTGTTTACCTCATGAACAAATAACCCTATGGACCTGAGTCAAGTTAAGAAGTGATTAAGACATCCCGAGACAGGTTCTACAATTAGAAGACAGGGGTGATCTTCTTAGGCTATGC